GAAGGGAGGGGGAAGAGGAGAGGGGAGAGGAAAGGAGGGGAGAGAGGAGAGAAGGGAGAAGAAGGGAGGGGAGAGAGGAGAGGAGAAGGAAGAAGGGAGGGGAGAGAGGAGAGGAGAGAGTGGAGAGGAGGGGAGGAGAGAGGAAAGGAGGGGAGAGGAGGGGAGAGGAGGGGAGAGAGAGGAGAAGAAGGGAGTAAGAGGAGAGGAGGAGAGAAGAAAGGAGAGGAGAGAGGAGAAGAAGGGAGAAAGAGGAGAAGAGGAGAGGAGGGGAGGGAAAAGGAGGAGAGAGAGGAGATGAGGGGAGAGAGAGGAGGGGAGAAGAAAGGAGAGGGGAGAAAGAGGAGCGGAGGGGGGAAAATGAGAGGGGAGGAGAGAAGAGAGAAGAGAGGAGAGGAGGGGAGAGGATAGAATATAACCATGTCACTATCAATTAATTGAAAACAAACACTTATGAAAGATATAACTTTCATATCAAAATGGAATTGAATTGCTAGTGCTTCATATAGAGAGGGCACTGGTATTCAAGCACAACTAAAAAAGATAAATATTAATTGAGACTGTCTGAAAGGCAATCACTAATATTTATTGAAATTGTTAAATGCCTGAAGTAACAGTTTATAACTGCAGGTCTATCCTAAGGAAATAAAGATATAGGCAGTGATTAATCTGTCAAGAATCTAACTACTATCTATTCATCCAATGAAAAAAATTATAGGAAAGAGCTTAAATTATCAACAATCACTATGATGCTTAAGTAAACTATGGTAAAACATATGCCAAAATATTGGATGCACTTTTAAATGTTGTAAAGGATAATATTTTATTGCCTTGGGTAAACATTTATTATCTATTAACTGAAAATAAGCTAGTTACTAGCACATACTAATTTTTAATGCAAAAAATGGAATGGTTTATGCTTAAAAAAAAGTAAGTACCCATTTTTAAAGGCGTAAAGAACTGACTTTCCCAAAAGTCCCAAAAGTGCTCTTCTCCACCTCATTTTGTAGACAGAGGAATTATTTTTTTTTTGGACAGAGGAATTATTTTCTCCTCCAACAATTTATAATACAATATCCAAAGGTCAAGCAAGCAGAATTTCTTCTGAGCAAAGCTGCTTTAAACAGGAAATTTTCAAGTGTTAAATGTTCTCTTTTCTCAGTGTAGATAAGCCTAACTCTGAGAAGGCAAAAGACTCTGGTAGTACATGTAGATATGCCTAACTCTGAGAATGCAAAAGACTCTGGCAGTACATAGCTCTCAACAATAGGCAATAGACAAACTGTTAATTCCATCTGTACCTCTTTAAAAAAAAAAAAAAGACAAAGTATTACATGTGAAAGTAGGGAGTCTCAGGCTACAAATAAATGTTTTTTTTTCTGAGGGTCAGCTAATTTCAGCATTCAGATTCTAATTTTTTGGATTACCTACAAGGTGCTGTATAGAATCACTGTTGATACTACATGTCAATGACATGGAACAATGTTAACAACCAAGTGTACAACCCTTTACAACGTATTTCCTTATTAAGAGATGTTGCTTCCAGAATTCTTGCTTACTGGTCAAAGCTCTAAATACCTTCTACTTCATCTCCTGGAGGACTTAGTTCAAATAATTTTCTCATCTTTCCTAAATTACATATCTCCTGTCTCTTCTCTCACTTTTTTTGTGAATGAAAACAAATAAATACGACATTCCTAATATATTCTTCTACAGTGGTTTTCAACCATACCTGCATATTGAAAATATCTAGGAAACTGTAAAACAAATACCAATGCAAATAATCTATACCAACAGAAAGCAGGCCAGCTGTATCCTGGAGGTGAAAAGAAAAGATCACAAAGAACATAATCAAACTTTACACTATAGACGTATTAATTATTTTAATTGTGGTAATAGTTTTACAACTGTAAACATATGTCAAACAAACTGCACAGTTTAAATATGTGCAGGTCATTATATACCAATTATACTTCAAAAAGCTCTTGTTAAACAAGTACTTATGCTTGGGTCCCATCCTGCCCTCATTGGAACAGAGGTGAGTTCCTTCTGGAAATAAAAATTCTTAAAGATTGTTAATGTGTAGCTAATAATGAGAACCACTGATCTACAAATGTCATCTTCTTCTTCACTCAGTTTTCTTGAAAAGCTCCACTCAAGTTCATCTACTTTTATCATCTCCCATTCTTTTTCTATCTTCTGAAAACTGGTTCTGAACTACCCTTCAGCTCAAACTGTACCTGGTAAAGTCACCAGTGAATTCCTGACTGTTACAGGAGTCTTCTCCTTACTTAATATTGCATTACCATGTTCAAAATAGCTGGTTTGTTCCTCCTCCAGTTGAAAATCTCTTTACCCTTAGCAATTCTCCTGCTGTTCATCCAACCTTTCTAACTAATAATTTTTTAGATGTATGCATCTACCTATTTCTGTTATTTATCAGTTTGTTCTCACGCTGTTGCATTTATCATGCTAAAAGCTTTCCCTAAGTCAAAACCAAATCATCTGGAGGTTGAATGTCTCTTCTCTTCTCTCCTGATTTTCTTTGTACATTCCACATCCATAGGTACAAACATCTCTCGGTATCTACCCTGACTGTCGAACTGATTCTTCAAGTTCAAAAAATAAAACTTAATCATCTTCCTTCAACACATGGTTTGCTCATTTCCAATCAACAGAACAAAGTCATATCATCAAAGACTTTCTTCCTTTCTTCCCATCAGTGATTAGGAACCATCATATTTACCTAACTCTGCCAGAATAAATCTAAAATATAAATCATAAATGGTTGCTCATCCATCATCTTTAATTCAATCCCTTTAAGCTAAGGTTCTGGCCCTCTACCGACTGCCTTACCCTCATTTTTTATCTTTTCCCTATTAACTCTGAATTAAGCCATGTCAAAGTCAATTATACTGATTTTGTCAACTAACACTGTTAACTGACACTTAATGTCAGCAAATTCTCTAACTGCAATGGTTTCTGTCCATCCTTTGCCTTCTTATTATGCCATCTTCTTGGAACGTTACTCACTTACCTCTTGTACTTCAAAACTCCACCTACATCCAAAGTGAGCTAACCATCTCTTATCCTAAGCACACTGCTGCTCACATTTAGTACATGATATTATAAATATTACCTTACTGTGATGTTACAAACACCTTGTACTTTAGACAACTAATTCCTTAAAGAGAGATGTCATTCATTGCTCTATCTATAGTATCTACTCAGATTGGAAAAATACATAGTAAATTTATGTTGGAAATAATGTCAAATATTCACAAAATGTAAACCTAATATCCCCAAAAAGCACTTGAATACTAAAATAAAAAAACGTTTAAAGACTTCCAAGGATTCATTATAAAATAAATATTATGAAACAAGATGTTGAATAAAAAAGGTAAAATTTTAACTCACTGTCAAAATATACCACTACTCTTAAAAAATGCAAACAAGAGCAGATTTCAGAAAAGAGAAAAGAGACAGGGAAAGGTGGTGCAGCAGGAACAAAACACTGACTGCCCATCCCTCATCTGGTGTCTGTAACCACATGCTGTTAATGCTGATTGCTAAGAGGATTTCTAATCCTTCTCTGGAAATAATTTTAATAAGTTAAATAAGGGGCAAAACGAGCTAACTCCAGAGTTTCTTTTTCTAAATATGTGACGGTCTTCTCCCTTGCCACTCTGTTGAAATGAAGATTTGGATATCTGGCTTTGAAGCTACTCTTGATCAAGTAGCTCTTAAAAATTGCTCTTTGTTATCTTTCCATTCCAAAAATATAGTGCATTCCAATATTCATCTTGTAAACCTCGAAATTTATTAACTTAAGGAGGGAAACAAGGCTTACAAATGATGGGGGAAGGGCTGTGGATGCTAGCAACAGAACGTTCTCATGGTAAACATACCTCCAGGGCCTATCACATGGACTCAAGGTTACACCAATCCTGAGAAACTTTATGCAGATAAGATTTTAAAAACTGAAAACATCAAACTATAAAGTGTCACGTGCACCAAAACGAGGTGACATAGCTGCTCCCAACCGCCTTGGGTAACCCAAAGGACAAAGAATCTGGCCCTACTGCTTGTAGTGGAGTCAGAGGTAAGTCAGAGTAAATAGTAGCTGCTAGTGGAACAACTCCCCCTACCTGAAGAGCCCGCGGCTGCCAACGTGTGATAGTGTATCAGAGGACGGATTCGGTGCGGTAGGAAACCACTAGGGTCACATTAAAATCTTTCAGGAATGTCTGAACTCTGAGGGTACAGAACACACATGTTCACACCCAAGCGTGCAAACTTGTGTGTGTGTGTGTGTGTGTGTGTGTGCGGGGGGGGAGGGGCATCTTTTAATAACAATTCTTTTCAGCGGAAACCCTGATGATTCTCGAATATGCTTTAAAAAAAAATCAACCTCGGAAGAAGCATAATTCATGGAATGAAGCGGGCAGGGGCTTGACGAGCAAGTCTCTGGTACCGTACACCACCAAGGAAGGAATCTGCGGGCTCAACCTCTCCTCCCCGCTCGGGACCACGGAGGAACGGGGGGGGGGGGCAGTGACCATTTTGGCCACCAGACTGGAAGGATGGCGGTGCCTGGCGAGGGTGGGAGAGGCCGGAGCACCGGCTGAGAGGGGCAGGGGGCGGGGGTGGGCAGGGGTCCCTCCCTAGGCCGACCCCGCGAAGGGGCCCCGGACCGCGGCCCCCGGGTCACGCCCGCAGGCTGGACCGCTCCTCGCAGCGAAGGAGAGACCCGAGCCCGCGCCCGAAGCTGCCGCCCTCCAGGCGGCTCGCGGGCTGCGCCCAACTTCGGGGCCAGCAGCGCCGCCCCGCGCCCACCCGCGCCGCCTCGCGCGGGAGCCGTTACCCCCAACGAAGCCGCGGCTCCAGGGACAAAGTCCGGTCCGCTACCCGCCGTCGCCGCACCTCGGCTCCTCCCTGACAAAAAAGTTCTCGGTCACCGGCCGCCCGGGGGGCCCGGCGTGAGCCGCTCAGCCCGCGCTTACCAGAGCAGCTCCGGGAGCTACAGCGGCAGAACCTCGACCTGTGCGCCTCACGAACGACCGCGACGGCGGCTGCTCGGCTTTCTCTCAGTAGCAGCACTCCCAGCCCCTCTTCTTCCTAACAGAACGGGTCCTGGCGAGCCATCTTCCCCCTCCTCTCACTGACTGACAAGCCAGCCCCGAGAGCTGCCACTGCCGCCAGCCACTCTGACAGGCACGACCAGGGACCCGTCCCCAAGCAGCCAACCACCACCGCCCCACGCCAGTTCAGCCTATTGTCGCCCCCCGGGGTGGAACCAGAACAACTTCTCCGCCAATGAGAAGCTACCTCTGCTGGGTCTGGGGCGGAGTCATGAAGAGGGCGGGAGAGCGACTTGAGTGGGCGTGGTCTTAGCAATGGGCGTGGCCGGGCTTTCAGAGATGATGATTGACTGTAGGGTTTGTGGTAACCTCAAGGCTACAGTGATCAAAGCAGATCTCTAATTTAGACTCCAAATTCTGAAATCATGTGGCCATCTCGGCGGAAATAAGCCCTACTGAGTGATGTGAAATGTAATCAGGAAGACAAAACAAATTGGCATTTATTTACTGAGCAGAAGGATTTACTTCTCAGTAATTCAATTCACAAGAATTTGCTGAGAGGGAAATGTACATTTTTGCTAATGATAATAAAAAAATTTTAAATCCTCCTAATTATATCATTGCCATAACATTGACATTTTAAATAGATTTCAATAATTTCATTTTCATTAACCATTTTTTCTGTTTTCCATCTGTACCCTCAAACATGCATTGCATAGTGTGTATAAGTATTGGAACCTGACCTCATCTGAACCAGCTCCCCCATATGTCCTCACCTAAAGGAAAAGAAGTCATTGTAGTATGATACATAGTGTGTAGTATCATACATAGTATGATAAATGGGAAGGATTTCTGTAAAAGCACTAAGTGATCTTTTCAAACACTCCAAACAGAGAGGGAGAGGAAGAGGGAGAGGGAGGGAGGAGAGGAAGAGAGGGGGAGACAGAGAATGACATCGAAAGGGTATAAAATTTCAGAGAAGATTCCTAAAAAGACAGAAGCCTCCAAGATCATTATGAAGACTTATAAGAAAATGATAGAACCAAGGTTCAATGAGCAAGGAGAATGAAGGGCAAGAAAGATTGTGTTTAAGCAAGTTGAACTTCATAAGAAGGAAGAGTGAGTCATTCCTGAAAAGATAAATAGGGGCAGTTGTGCTATGACACCTGTGATCCCAGTTACTCATGAGGCTGCTGCAGGAGGGTTGCAAATTTGAGGCAAGCTTGGACAATTTAGTGAAACCTTGTGTGTAGGAAAAATTAAAGAGCTGGGGGTGTGCTTCAGTGGTAGAACTAGCATGTAAAAAAAGCTCTGGATCTAATGTTCAGTATCAAAAAAAATTTAATGATTTTTCTAGGGAAAAGGGAGAGCAATATGAAAGAACAGGAGTGATTGGTTAGCCCTGAGAAAATGTGTGGGCAAATAGGTGGGCCAAAGGATGAAGAATGATTTTTTTTTTATTATACTAAAAGTAAATGGTTGGGGTTGAAACCTAAAAAGTGTTGAGATGAGACCTAAAAAGTGTGAGGGGTTTGTGTAAAATATGTAGATGATCACCAACAGTGCTTTCTGCAAAAGAGAAGGGGATATACACGAGTAACACATAGTTACTGATATCGGTCATGTGTGCTACTGATGTATTAGCCAGAGTATCTGGTGGTAGGAAAGCCAGTCAGGACCAGGAGCTGAAGAGCTAAACCATGCTTGTGGAAATGGGAATGGAAGACAGAAGGAAATATGTATTTCCTGAACTTTGCAAGGTTCTTCATTTGTAAAAAAAAAACTGAATATTACAGCATATACAACTAGATAATGAACAGGTGGAAAGCTAAGCAGAGATTAATCATTTAATATAATAGTAGAAGAGATAACTGTGCAGAATTTTCTAGACTGATAGTTCAAATAATTTTCTAGCAGAGGGAGTAAGAACCTCCAGTCAAGCCTACTAATTTAAGGTGGAAGGGAAGGTTTTATAAAAAAGATTTAAAACTGAGCTGGATCCTGAAAACTAAGGAGAAATTTGAGTCAGAAAAACTGATGAAGGGAACTTCTGAAATATCTGTGGATAGTAATGTACCTTGCATGCAGGCACAAATATTCCAAAGGAAAATATTATTTCCTTTAACCTCATGGCTTCTACCGTCTCATTAAAATCACTTAGAATGCTTTCCAAAAATATTACTGCTCAAACCACATGCCACATCAAATCATAATGTTGAGAAGAGGGGAAGGGACTGAATATATGGATCTTTTTAAGGCTTTCCAACTGTGATAATGTACAAGAAAGATTAAGATCAGGGCTTGTCTTTTGTAACATTTTACTAACACATAGGATGGATCCAGTAAAGAGAAGCTAAAATCTCCTAAGCATATTTATAGATAATGTTTTCTTCCAGCAAGAAGACAGGAAGCAGTTTGCTGCCTAACTTCACTTCCTGTTTTTTAGTAGTAAGACAATAGAAAATTTTAAATTGTCTCCTTCTAAGAGTAAAACCAATGTACGCATTCATGTTTGCAATCTACTTTCTATCATAATTTATATGAAAATGAAATAATTTCTGACAATAACAGTCTTCAGGTAACTGCTACACATAATCATATTTTAATTGTGAAATACCAGGAAAATGCCTAAGAGAACATTCTGTTTCAAAAGGAAATGCTTTTAACCTACTTTATTAAAAGCCAGCATATTCTATCCCTTTCCTGTTCTCCTTTGTTAGTCTTTAACAGCTGAATACACATGTCTACATTAACTGAAAAAATAAACTTACTTTCTTGAAGGTAAGTTTATAAAAAGTCCAGTTGATCATAATGTGACATGAATATTTTCCCTATATTAAACTTTAGGAACATTAGGGAAAATTAGCTCCAATATATTTTTATTTAAGTCAACTGGTAATATGACTTTAAAATGAAACAGAGAACTTCGTCTTGAAAAACAAAAAAATTTCAAGTATTAACTCTAATGGTATATTAAACATATTAAAAGAAAAAAACTCCTTGGCACAGGCTGAAATTTTCTTAATAGAGACCCAGAAACACAACACATCAAAGAAAGGTTGTACAAATGGGATTGCAGGAAGTTTAGAGCTTCTGTATGGCAAAGGACATAGCTAGCAAGATCAATAGAAAGCCCACAGATTGGGAGAAGATCTTCACGAACCATACAACAGACAAGGGTTTCATATCTAAAATATACCTGCAACTCAAAAAATTAAATCCCCCAACAACAAATCCTCAAACAACTGCCCAATAAATAAGTGGGCTAAAGACTTAAAGAGAAAGTTCTCTGAAGAGGAAATAAGAATGGCCAATAGGCACATGAAAAAATGCTCAATCTCCCTAGCCATAAAAGAAATGCAAATCAACATTGAGATACCACCTGACCCCAATTAGAATGGCTATAATCAAGAACTTTAATAACAACAGATGCTGAAGGGGATGTGGACAGAAGGGAACTCTACTGCATTGTTGGTGGGAGTGTAAATTTGTTCAACCACTTTGTAAAGCAGTATGGAGGTTCCTCATAAGACTCCATATAGAGCTCTCCTATGACCCAGCAATCCCACTTTTGGGCATTTACCCAAATGATCACAAACAAGACCATACTAAAGCTATCAGCACAACTATGTTTATTGAAGCATTATTTACCATAGCTAAGATATGGAACCAGCCCAGATGCCCCTCAGGAGATGAATGGATCAAGAAAATGTGGTATATATACACAATGGAATTCTATGCCTCCATCAGAAAGAATAACATCACCCCATTTGTTAGGAAATGGAAAGACTTGGAAAAAATTATACTAAGTGAAGTAAGCCAGGCCCAAAGAAACATAGGTCTCATGGTTTCCCTTATTTGTAATAACTAGTATATGTCTGAGACAAACAGAAAAGGTCAGATAAGTTGATGTTAGGTGAAATGAACTGCAAGATAAGGATTCAAATGTTTTTTTACTTTCATGAGATTGTTTCTAACATATTTATAAGATGATTTCTTTGTTGTTTTGTATGTCCCTCCCCCACAGTATAACCCCTGCTTTCACTGTATTTGATGTTGGTATAATTTGTAGAGGGGAAGGGAAAAAACAAATCGTTTAAATAGGGATGGAGGTAGACCCATTACAACAATGAGATGTACAAGTCGTTATGTCGAAAAACGAACTTTACAACTTTGGCGGGGGGGGGGGGCAAAGGGAATAGATAGGGGGGGGGGATATGGGAAGGGATAGGAAGGGGGAACAAAGGAGGAGGCAACAATGCTTGATAAGAAATGTACTCATTATCTTGCCCATGTAATTGTGACTCCTCTGTACGGTATTTTCATAATAAAAAAATTTTTTTAAAAAGATAATGTTAAGTGAAATGAGCCCCAAGATAAGGACACAAGTGGTTTTTATCTTTCTTGCTATTGTTTCTAACGTATTTATAAGGTACCTAATGAGTTTTGTGTGTGTGTGTTGCCTTGTATGCTCCTCCCCCACAGTATAACTCCTTTTTTCACTGTATTTGATATTGGTATAATTTGGGGAGCAGAAGGGAAAAAACAAATTGTTTAAATAGGGATACAGGTGGACCCATTGCAACAATGAGATGTACAAGACGACTAAGTAGAAAAGCGAACTTTACAATTTAGGCAGGGGAGTGAGGGGGGCCGGGGAAGGAGTGTAGTGATGGAGATGGGAGGGCAGGGATGGTAGGGAAAAAACAAAGAAAGGAGGAGGCAACAATGCTTGATAAGAAATGTACTCATTACCTTGCTCATGTGATTATAACCCCTCTGTACAGTATTTTCACAATAAAAAACTTATGTTAAAAAATAAAATAAATTCAGAAATCTCTATTAAAAAAGAAAAGCAAAGAAAGAGTATGCCTAAAAGCTCATTGAAGGGCTTTTTATGCAAGTGTCCGTTTTAAGGGAACTACCCTGGCCAAAGCCCCCAGCTCAGGAAGCAAGAGTACCCAAACCATGTTGTATGGTGTACAGCCTCCTTTGTAGGCCCAGATTAAAAGGTGATCTGACAGGAACACTCCATCCCAACAGAGGGGGCAGTGACTACCTACACCCATTCCCTTTTAACTATTTTAATTGGAAATGGGAAGAGAAAAATCA